AGATTTTTAACCGACTTTTTTAAAGCTTTGGTAGCTTCTTCTAATGAAACCAATTGCTGTTGTTCAGGAATTTCAATGGAGAATGATGTTTTTAATGTAGCTAGATGTTCTTGATCAGGATCAAGAAAACGTTCATTTGTACACGTTGTTGCCATCAGATTGCTTCGTCTAAACTGAATTCATATAGTTTTACTCTGGTTATTTTTTTTCTCTTGCGAATAGAAAGTGTCTGCGTCGTCTTTTCTTTTATTGTCACAGGTAAAAGAAAAAAAACCACCGAGCGATAAAATACTTGGGAGAAAGAAAGATAAATTATAGTAGTTGGCCTGATCGATTATTGTGGCACAACTTGGCAACGAAGTGTTGTAATTTCATATTTTTACCGTTATATCTTCAAACCTTTCTGGCTCGAAGAATCGTAAAACAACATTTGAGTTTCTTCGAAAAGATTTTTGATTTTAGTCATCATATTTATGTAGGCTTCGAAAGCATTTACCTCTTCGCTTTCCTTTCTTAACATAGAAACGACTACACGTTGTTTTTGCAGTTGATGGTGTGATGTGGGTGAAGGGAGTGTTGTGTCGAAGATCCACACGCCCACTCACACCCTCGAACATATTCAAATTCACTGCTGACTTTCTTGACGTAGTAATTCTACTCCAAAAAGGAAATTCACCCTTTTGTGCAATCATGCTTACTAAACATGTCAAACAATGTTGGAGATTTTCAAAATATGATTGAATGATTTATCGCATACGTTTGGGAATATTTACACTATGAAAGTAAATATTATCTTTGACACAAGAAAAAAAAGTGACATTTACAATAAAGACGATTCGAACTATTATCGGGTAGATCCGATTAGTTTTTTTATTTTGTGAGTATAGCCAGTTAACTTTCGTCATGATCATGTTCTGATTCATTTCTGATTGAATGATGTCCTTCATTGGCAACAGCCATTTGTCTTTTTCGTTTGGCTGCTCGCTTAGCAATACGTGATGCATCTGGTCCAGATATTTCAATGCCTAAATCATCATCAGTTCGACGTTGATCATCAGTAGCAGATGCAACTACAATCAAAAATCATTAATGGATTATTTCTCTATCGTACACACGTCAACACAATTACTTACCTGCAGCCTGTGAAAATTACAAAAAATACAGAAATAGATTGGAAAAAAATATGAAACCTAAATTCGATTTTTAACTCACCTCTAGTTGTTGTCGAGTTTCTACATCTTGAAGTGCCACCATATGGATTGGCCTGCCGGACGTCAATTCAGTAAGCCATGAACATGTGAGAATTTCATCAATCGTAATACGCTGAGCTGGATCCACTGTAAGCATCCGTTGAATAGTGAATTTAGCTTCTGGTGAGATATTCTGCCATTCATCATCAGGAAATTGATAATCACCGGTTTTGATTCTATTCTTCATACCAGAGCTGATTGTGTGTCCGCCTTCCGAGAAAAAAGGAGGATAGCCACATAGTAAAATATACATAATCACACCCATGGACCAAATGTCACAGGCCTATTATACAAGAAATAAAACACCTGAAGAAATATTTTTTTAATTTCTCAAAAAAAAACAAGAGTCAAACTCTATTCGCGTTCCATAGACGTGAAGTCTTATTTTTTAACTTGATTTTCTTTTTTATAGACTATCAAAATAACGTATTTTTGTCTTATTACTTTGTCATATCTGCTATGATACAGAATCTCTGGTGCAACATAATACGGTGTGAATCTAAACGAGAAAATCTAATGAAATAATTTGATATTATTAATTCACTTTTATACAATGGGGTACTCAATGGTAATGGTTCATTGTTTCCTTAAAACAGAATTAATAAACAAAAGTCCATGTCTTTCTTGTCTCTAATAAGCACCAATTTACCTTCTTTAGCGAATCCAAAATCGCCAAGTTTGAGAATAGCATCATTACTTTCATTTGTCAGAAGTAGATTTTCTGGTTTTAAATCACCTACAATCATGAGTTTACTAGTTAATCAGATTTTTCCATTATAAAACTACTTACGATGCGCCTATAAACCGTGAAAAGGACAATGAAAAATATAATAACAGTAAGTTAGATGAGAAAATCTTACGATATCCATTTTGTGTAAATGATTAACAGCTTGAACAATCATCCAAATATATCTAGCAGCATCACGTTCGGTATATGGATTATCGTTTCGTTGTTCTATTCGATTGAATAATTCACCACCTTCCATACTAAAATAAAAATTCATTAAAAAGCATAGATAGATGCACAGATCGAAGAAAAATCAACTACACCATTCCATAACAATCAATATGTATCGCTGGGATCGGAGCATATTTTCCTGCAATAAATCAGAAGATTGAATTAATAATAGAGTAATGCAAGAGAAAAAAGTACCAGAAGCGTGAGAAAAAAATTCTTACATAAACGTCCAGTAATTGCACAATGTATTGACAATTTTCGCATGCCTTTTTATGCAGGATAACTTCTTGCCGAGCTTTGACTGAATCTTTCAAAATCTATAGAAATTTCAAAAAAATGTTAGTTGATACATTTATCGGAATAAATCAAGGGTATACTTTAAGAGCACAGTTTTGTTCAGTTCGACGATGTTTACATTTAAGCACTTTACCATTTATGCCAATACCTAATGCGTCTGTTGATATGTCATAATCGTCTGTAATGGCATTCCGATGTGTTGCAAATGGGAATGAAGTATAGCTTTGTGAACTATTCGATCAATCAAATTAGATTCATTTTTCTTATGAAAATACCGAATAAGTAATGAAATCACACAGATAGTAGGTTTACATTTGCTAAGACTATCGAACGTGTTGATTAAGGCTTCATGAATGAAACTTGATATGATTTTGCTTGAAACTCTATTCTTGCTAACTTATATCACTGTCCTTTACGATGATTACTCTCAAAACAATCATTTTTTTTCCAAAGGCAAACAGCTTTTATGGTCCATATTATTGGGTTATCTATGGCAATAAATACTGTCCAGTGATGTGAATAAAACAAGAAAATATTAAAGAAAAGAAGTTTTAGTCATGATGACTTAGAGAAAAAGAACTATTTAACAGACTATGTGGAGGCGTTTGCTTACCTTGCACTTGTTATCGATTGATTAGTAGCCATCGTTACGAGTAGCAATTAAGTACATATAAACAAAGAAGAAGATTTGATGAACAATAAATAATAGATGATTCTGAATAATAAAAATAGACAGTATGTTTTGGATGTGTAAAAACGTTCCGCTGAAATCAGAAAAATATTGCAAGTTTTCAATCGACATGCATTTACGACCGCAAGAAAGTAAGGCAACTAAAGAAGAAGAAAAAACGTATTTTGGTTCGAAATACAGAACAGAACAGAACATCAAAGACACATGTAAAGCGTATTGCATAGAAAAAATTATAAGCAACAGCAGCGACGATAAAATAGAAAAGAACGAAAAAAAAATTATAAATAGTAGAAGAAACTTGTTGGTTTTTTCCAGATATGTGTCATGAATATTCAATGTAATTTTTCAAGTAATTGCAACATCGTACGGTGATCATCGATAATTGCTCCTATTGAACGCGAATAAGACGTTGATTTAGTTGTAAAAAATATGGTTGTCACATTTATCAAACAAAACAAATGATTCAAAAGCTGAATAAATCCACATGTGATTGATAATTTATTCTTTCATCTGGCTGTTGTATGAAAACGAAGTTGAAAGAGCAATAAAAAAACGAGTATTTGACGATGTGAGGATCCTAGGCTTCTATCAATCACTTCATCTACATTCTTGCATGCACTCCTTACACGGACATTGCTTTTCACTTTATATAGCGTACGACTGTTTGCGGCACCATTGTATTGAAATTAGTGAAAGAAAGAAATTGAGATATAGTAAGGTTATTCCACTGTATATACGCCACTTTATGCATGACTTTTATATTTCAAATCGTGTAGAGCATAATCGATTTTCTACTAGGATAACAAAATATCTGCCATGAATGCTAATGTTGAAGAGATCAGCGATCCACAAAATCAATACGAAATATGGCTAGGGTGTGGGTATGGGTGAAGTTCGTCTGCCTATGACACTCATACCTACATCTGCACCCATAACCGTACACCCACACTCCACCCTATCTTATATGGATTTTTTCAAGGTGTTGAGGCCCTCTCCGGCCACTCATGAGTTCCTGGTTGCGCCACTACATTCTTGGGTGAGAGTGAGGAGTAGGGTGTGAGTTTAAAGGTGTGATTTGGAGCTTAACGAGAAAAGTATCACCGTCAGTGTTGGCGAAACTTCGATTTTTCACGTATGTCACAAGAAATGCCTAATTAGTTATTTCATTATGAATTTTGAGAAATGAAATAAATAAAACCATTTTTGATGCATTAGATGCGTATTTTCCAAAAAGCATGCATATCTTTAATCTTTGAGAGGTGTCTAAGGACCAAGAAACAGAAATCTTTCTTCAGTTTCTCCAGTTTTATGATTGCGAATATTAGATAAAATATATTATCTGTTATATTTCTGCTCTTGAAACTATGTTAATGAAGACACGTGTAAAAATGAAAGCGCGATCTTGCACGCCGCTGCAATTAATAGTCAGTTCTTCTTGTCTATTATGTATGTCATCTTCTATTGTCCTACTCAAGACACCGACATTAATAAGATACAGAAATGTTATATGAGGCTGCATGGTCTCATATTTTATACAGAGATGAGAACAAAACGAAGAAAAACAACAAAACAAATAACGAATTTTACCTTTTCAATCACTAAGATTCGTATGTTTTGACATATTTTTTGTTGCAAAAAATATCAAATCTTGCAAGATGTTGAAAACAAACTGGAAATATCTCTGACACAACCAAAGCGAGTTCTATTGGACGTGGAAGATTATCATCAACAAGCGAAAGAGATGATCAACTAATATTAATTAATAATCAACCGAAAGTACTCCTTGATGTATAATCTCATTCAACAGTCAATTCAATCAGTTGCCAAACAAAACTTTTAAATTCTACGATAACAATTTCATTCCCATGCATCATGGCTCCAACAGATTTACATCAACTAGCCAATAATGAATATGGCGAATTAGCAACTGTTCGTGCAACTGTTGCTTGTTCGACAATAATGTGTGTTAGTACAATGGCGCCAATACGCATGGAACGGATTGCCGAAGAACACCAAGAGCAAATCAAAGCAAATTATCCTCGAAGTACTTCACAGCTTTGGTATCAGTTATATTTTTTCAAAAATCGTCTATATACACAGAGGCTAATCCAACATGCTGAAGGATGTGGCTATAAAGCGGTAGTAGTTAACGTTGATCATTGCAAAGTAGGCAATAGAGAATGTGATGTTCATAATAAATTTTCATTACCTAAAGGTATTCAAGCGTAAAATCTAATTGATGATAAAAGTAATGGTTTTGCTCAAACTTATCATCAAGCATCCATTAATGCGTCATTAGCGTGGAAAAGTCTTAAATGGATACGGTCGATCACAACATTACCCCTCATTATCAAATGTGTTATGCATCCAGATGATGCCCGTGAAGCTGTTAAACATGTCGTACAAGGAATTATTGTTTCGAATCATGGTGGTCAACAATTGGATATATGTCAAAGTACCATTGATGCTTTACCAGATATCATGGATGCTATTATTGGTGAACTTCATCAAATCGATGTTTATGTTGATGGTGGTGTACGACGGGGAACAGATATTTTGAATGCTGTGGCATTGGGTATAAAAGCAGTGTTTATTGGAAGATCAGTGTTATGGGGTTTAGCAGTAGACGGAATGCAAGATGTTCGCAATGTGTTGGATATATCGAAAAAATAATTTCTATTGGCTATGATGTTATGTGGATGCCAAAATGATGGCAATATCAGAAAAAAACAATCTTGTAGTTATGAATAATAATCATACTCAATCGAAGTTGTAAAATGGCAAAACTACTACCTATTATGACCACTGGAGTGATTGAACACCATTCATTTGGGTGTTTACTCTGCTAATTTACTACAAAAAAACTGAAAGCCAAGTCATTTTACAAACATTTCAACAGGTTTCTCCTTATATCAGACTATAATGTGAATAGAGATTGTTCTTCACTAAATGTCTACTTTACAATTTACCAAGCTATTGTTTGTAAAATATTGCAGAGTATTGAAATAGTTGATATGCTTTTACAGATTACTTATTCCTCTTCTTTCTGGTTTTTGGATCTTCTAATACATCATCTATTGTCTAGCGTAATAGAAATTGTGCAGATAAATTTAAACCAGAAATATTCAATGAAGTTTGTATCAGAGACCAAAACGAATGAGAAAATCTCGATTCGAATCGACTCTAATGCAGTAAAAGCTACCTCACACTATATTCAAGAAATGTGCTTTGTCTTTTTTCAAAGGATGTTTTTTGTGCTATTCGGCGTATCCGTATTAACTATCACTTCTAGGAGGAAACATGAAACGTGAAGCAGAAACTAAAATAAATATAACTTTAGCTAGATCAGAACGAATGTTTATGCTACCTTATTGTAAATGACGTAGGCTTCTGGTTTGATTCGATGAGTAGTCTATTATTGAGATACGCGCGATCAGTCTCGGTCATGTGGGATTGACAAGAAGTCAATCTTGGAGATATTTTACATGGCCTGCAGTAGCCCCATAAACTTTTAGTCCTTAACAATGGATAAGTTTTCCAGAAAAAATTGAATTTCGGACAAGAGTAAACCAACTCAGTGGCTTTCATCTAATAACAACCTCAGGTCAGCCAAGGTATCTTCAAAAGCCATAGTTTCTTTTCTCCTTCGGTAAAGAATTACAGGATCTCGGTAGTCAAGTCAAGCTAAAGCTGGCTCAACAGAAGTTAGGTCTTCAAGTGTTTATAAGCATGAATTGCCTTTGTAAATATTCTCATACTTGTGGAATGACGAGAAAGGCGAAAGATGAGAACATTCATGAAGTTCCTGTGTCCTTGGAACTGCATAGAAGAAAAGTAAGTGTGGCATTATCATCCACATTTGAATGAAGAGGACGCGAATAAAAACACTAACTACGATTTCACTTACCTCAAAGGAACATAACACCGTCTCAGGAAAAATCAGGCCCATGACCCTTTAGATGACTATTGTGTGAATTCGAAGTGTCAAACATTTTCGATCCAGATGTAAAGGAAAAAGATAGCGATCGTGTGAAATGCAAAGGGGATATGAGACAGCAACAAGCCGCCAGTAGCTACTCTCGATATTCTACAAAAGTCAGTCAATCCTAATTGATAAATAAAAACAGACTATAACTTTAAGCACTGCCGTCTATTTTAATTGTTCTTTTTCTTTCAAAAACAAAAAACGATAAGCATATGGTAAATAAATAGGAAAGCAATTTTTTTCCAAAAAGAAATACAACGAAAACTGTCTGAGTATTAGACTTCTGACAATCCAAACGATCGATATTTTGCATCTGACAATGGAACTTGTTGTACTGTTCATCAAGAAGATTGGTCATGATCGAATTAAATTATCACTCTCACTGATAAGCTAANACATGTTATTAAATGTTGATTTAATGATGTTAATTTATTTGGAGTTTTTAATCGCCATTTTGGAACTGCAGATGAAGTATTTGTAAATAACCAATGCTAAACAATAGAAAAAGAAATATATATCAAACGATACATCAATAATGAATCTCTCTGTATTTTGGCATTAGTGTGTTGTTTTTATCAATCTTTAGATGTAATTGTTTTGTTTTCTTTTTTTATTCGTTATACGACTTTTTTTCAACAGTTGCGAAAAATATGGATTTAAATAATTCAATTTTCGAGTGTTCTAGCAGAAGAAAATCAAAGTAAATCTCAACTATTGACTGACTTATAATACTGATTAATAGAGTTTTTCAAGTATTACAAAATGCATTAGTTTTCGCCGTAATCTATCAATCCGATTTTTCGCTAGTTAGTGGTCATCGGTTTTTCTACTATTTTCATTGTGTTACGAGCTTATGGAAAACGGCAATATAAACACACTAATTTTGTATTATTTACGATGCCGTTTTTATTCGATCTAAGCTTCAGCTTATCTCACTCATTGGGAACCCCATTTTCAACTGCTCAATAACTTGTGAATTTAAACTCAATGCACAAAGTAGATCTCCTATTAGAGTTCTAGGCATTTCACTGGAATTTTAACCTTGGGCATGATAAATGCGAACAAATCGAATAATGGTATATCGACTTGAGAGTTTGTTCACAGACACATCTATTTGTCAGTAGAATGTCCCGAAAAATTTCAACTCGAAAGAATATTTTCTTCCCAAGATACTAAAGACCTAAAAATTCTTCCATCTTTTATGGAATATGATTGATTTTAAGGACTTTATATATCTCATGAAGGAAACAGTCTTTTGAGCTGAATATTTCAAGAGATTCTAATAATAAATAGACTTGTTCGTGGACAAAATCTCAAGTCGAAATACTGTTATTTAATTTATTGCTATATATATATTTCTTTAGATATTTTTCATATCTCACTAATTTACATCATGTCCTGACTCCGAAACTCAAAAGTGATTGATCAATTGAAAACATTCTCTCATTAGATCAACGTAAAAGTACTTGAATAAAATGATTTTTCAGCCTATAGAACTACGTTTGATAGATACTTAAAAAATGCATGTTTTGGAAAAATGATCAAGTCTAATAGTATACAAGAAATAATTTCATTATCAAAATGTATAGAGAATTATTATTTATGGATCACTCAATAAATAAATATATTATTACTTTTTGTCGTTCAATCCAAGTAACATCTCCATGTAAAAGTACATTACGTTCATGTTCAGTAACTACAATTCCTCGCGTAGGTAATAAATTTTGACATAAGGCACGTAAACGCTAAATATTCAAAAATAATTAAATATTCATTTTAAAAACAATACAAAAGAAAAAAGCAAAAAAAAAAATCATTCTTACATGACAAACAAGTGAAATATTTCTTAATGATAAACTATCCAATTTTAGAAGAATATTCGTAAGTATTTCTGATGGTAAATTAAGTAAATCTAATTTATCATTATAATCTTCATTTATTGTTGGATACCAATCAAAAGCAATAGCATCATTATTTTGATCAAAACGTATTTGAATTGATTGACCATTCATTTGACATGGTTCAAGACGTTCATATTGAAATTTACAACCATATTGAGATTTTGGACATTGTTGTATAAGTCCTGAATTAAGAATACAATCAATTCGAAAATGTATATGCCAATGTTGTTCAATTTCATCTCGACGACATAAAGCATGACAATAAAATACAGGTCTTTTATTAAATGATGTTAAAGTTTTGAGATGTTTATTTAAAGAAAAATAATTTAATCGATATATATGTGACGATGGTAATTCCATATCAGATATAATAGACATTGGATCATTTTGTGATAATTCTATTATTGAATTTGAAGTAGAAGGATTAGAAGATGAAGTTAATGGCATATCAGATGAATTGATTAATGTGGAAGACATTTTGACTAGAGATGGTGTTGTCATTTGATCAGTAGAATTGTCATAATGTAAATTAAAATCAATCATTACTTTTCGTTCTTCTGAAATGATCAAAAAATTTTATAATAATGAATTTTATTCGCGAATCATTTGTTGGTCATATGGACATACATAAAAAAAAATGACTATATCCTTGCTTTGAGTACCGATTTATGTAAGACTGATATCAGTCAATAGAATTCGAAAGTCTGAGTCTACTAGACTTTATTTTGAATCATTCTGAAAAAATATCAAGAAGATAGAATGCAAAAAGAAAAGGTTTTTACATTGGCTCCCTTCAAGTTAAAAGTTCAAGCAAATAAATTTTCGAAAAACTAACATTAGATGAAGTTATGGATAAATTCATAACAGCTCTAATCAGTTCAAAATATGTAGACGGGATACATTTGATTCAGAGTCGATTAAAGTATATTTTACTAATACGCCTTATTTGTAGCATTGAAGGCAAAAAGATGCTGCATGGATAACTACTGATTTTTCTTTGTCTATCGTCTTATTAGCATATGTTATCAAGACAATTGAGAAAGAAAGATAAAGATAATAAAATATTCCTATTCTTAGTAACAAATTATTTCGAGTATATGACCGTCTTTTATTTATGTACATGACCAAACAACAATTTACAAATAATAATCATTATTTCGTTTCTATTGATGTAGATTACCTTCACTAAGTTCTGATAGACGTTGATCTTCATTTTCTTCTAATTGTCTAAGATGTTTTCGACATGCACTACATATAATACCATCTCCTCTACTTAACATACATTCTGGCATTGTTATATAACGATATTTTTCACTACGAATAATATGTTCAACTTGAGTATTTTTAGATTTTTTATTTCTTAAATCAGAATATATTTCTTGTTGTGTTTTTTGAAATGCCCACATATGTTCATGCCATATATTATCATGATGAGCAATTATTTCAATAAGATTTTTATTCGTAGAATTTTCTAAATTATTTATATAATATTCATGATGATACATAAATGAACAAACTGTTATAGATGCTGGACATATACGTAAATGACGTGAAAGATCAGAACGTCGAATAGTAGATGGACAACCATAATTAACATTTAAACATGGAATAAAAACATTTGAACAAATATATTCATGATCATAACGTTTACATTCATGCATACGAGCAAAACATCCATTAGGACAATAAATTAATGGACAAGAAGATGTATGAAGACAATTAACTAGAAAACATTTATTGCAATGTTCATGTGCCATCTGAAAGAAAGATCGATGTATAATAAATCTTTTGTTATTGAAAAATTATATTTTTTCTTTTTTTTTTTTGAGATACACTAATAGATTTCTGTTATAGTAGAAAAGGTAAAAACATACATATAATCACCAGTCATGTTAAAACCAAAAAAAAAAAAAAAAAGATTAGACATTTTATAAAAAATAAAAAGCAAACCCAACATTAAAATAATTTCACTATTGTATTTTGTCAAAATGAAAATCGAAAGAAAATTATATTTTTATCAAGATGTTATATTTTTATCCATAGAAGAATTTTGTTCGACAGAAATATTATTATCCGATGTTGTTTTTATTTGTTTTGAACGTTTATTAATTGCTTGATTAGGATCATTACTATCAGTATCAGTACGTTTGTTTATCTGTAATTGATCTGTTGTTATTGATACTGCTGTTTGTAATCTTGTTTTTATTCGATTTCCAGTTACTTGAGGAGCAACATATGGAATAAGTTTCGATATACTACCAATAGCTTTTGTACGTCCTTCACGAAAAATAAGTTTCATACCAAGACGAAGATATTCAGGTGATTTTAAAAATCGAAATAATACATTTGCACGATCACCTGTTCGTAAATTTTCAACAGGTATAGAAATAATTGTTGCTGTTTGACGAATACTACCACAATGAACTGAAAGAATAAATATTTAAGTTTTCTTATTGTTTTTTTTTTTTGTAAGATAAAAAGAATCCTGTTGGATAAGATGATTAATCGTCATTTGAAAAACTACCTATACCGTTTTCTAGAACAATACATGACACATCGAATGATATATTTTTCATCATGTTGTAAAATTCGGAGAAATCGTATAGCAATTAACGGATATCATAACGATTGTAAGTGATACGACCAAATATTAGGACTTACGAGGGAAGGCCACCAACTGTTCAATCGCTTTTGCATTGAAACTATTTGAGTTATGTAGTTCCCAAAGAGTTATGAATACCCTGAAAATATTTTGGGCGGATAGTTTATTGTAACGAAAATAGTCCATTTGTAAGGTATGGGTTTTATTGAGGGCTTGGAGTCCCCCTCAGGAACATTAAAAAATTTGATTTTCGAATTTCGACTTGAAACTTTACACAGAAAGACGCCCCAAGGAGAACAACTTTTTTTGAACGTTTCAGATCTTTCAAGTGTTCCTATCACTAGACACTGCTATTGTGAAATTTGTATTTTATATCCTTCAAATAAAGTAGCAGATTTGGTGAAACAATCAATCAAAAGGCCTAAAACTTTCAGAAAACACTATTCTCGTTAAGAAGTATTNATGATTAATCGTCATTTGAAAAACTACCTATACCGTTTACTAGAACAATACATGACACATCGAATGATATATTTTTCATCATGTTGTAAAATTCGGAGAAATCGTATAGCAATTAACGGATATCATAACGATTGTAAGTGATACGACCAAATATTAGGACTTAGTATGCATCCAAACGAACCTATATAAAATTTTGTCGCGTCTTCGATCGTTTATATTTAATAATAATCATAATAGCTTTCTTCATCCCAAAACTCTTAGGATTTTTAGTAGGTTCAATAATTTTTGACTTTTATTATGTTTTGAACTCTTCTATACTGTTTCTGAAAGCAAAAGCGATCAATCATGTAATTTTCTAAGAAATCATATGCCAACAAGTTCTATAAGTCTATGAATAGATTGTTCTATGAACTGATGTACGTCAATATGGATCTTTCGAAAATATCAATAAAATTTTCGTTTTCAGATACTTGAAGGAGAATATTACGAATGTTTGAAGTTTTTAATTCTCATAAGAAACTGAATATATAATGAATTTAATAAAGCTTCATATTTTGATCACATTCGAATATTCAATAGCTTAATTCGTAAGGAACAAAATGAAATAAAAATCAATCTTTGTAATAATCGATTCTTTTGTTTTCCTTTTTTGCAAAGACTCGTATATGTCGAATGATAAGTCATCATGAACTTATTACTCTCAGATAGAAACTTTTTCATTCAAAAAATAATTTCCTTTATATTATTTGATATGATACGAGTTGCTCGACAAATTGGTATAGATGACTTTTCAAATGAAGAATGATCATCTTATTAGACAGAATTTTTTATTTACCCATTGCTTGATATTTAACACTGATTGTTGTTGGATGATGTAGAATAAGTAAATCAGCTTCGAATTCCCAATATGAAACAGGTGAAATAAGTGGAGATAAAAGGACCATACCTTTACGAAGTTCAGATTTTTTTATCTTTAAATAAATGAAAACATTTAATCATGTAAATAAACCGTTGTTTTGTTTTGGTCTTTACTTTTCTCAAAGCAAATGATGATGTTTGACCACCTCGGCATTCTTTAACTGACATTCGTTTACGATGAATACCTAAATAATTATAATAATAAGTATGTTTGAATATTTCATTTTTCTACAAGAAAAAAAAAAAAACATACTTCGAATTTGTACTGTTTTAAATTGTCCTAATGGATCAGGTCCTAATTGTAAATTATCACCAACTTTAATAATACCTTTTAATGTTGTACCACTAACAACTGTACCTACACCAGGTACAACATATAAATCATCTATTTGAAATTCAGCTGGTTCATCAAGACATGCTTCCATTCGTGTTGATAATAGATTAAGAAATTTTTTTAATAAATCTAAATTTTCTCCTGTTACATTTGATACTTGAAATATTGGACATAAACGTTCAGAAGTAAAATTTGTTGCACATGTTATTACATCATCATTAGTTTGTACTAATAATGGAATTTTTCGACAACCAGCTGAACGAAGAATTTTCTGTAGAAGTTTCATTGTTTCTTGTAAAACATTTGCAGGTGCCATATCAATTTTAGTGACAACAACAAAAACAGGTACACCGAGAGCAAGTGCTAAACCCTTTTAATAAAAAAAAAAAAAACTTAAGAATTTTTATTAATAGATTTAATTCTATTGAAAATAAGAAGATATCGATTGTTATGGACTACAGTAGTTTTAGAGAAGAAATCAATAGGAAAAAATTATTTTCGAGTCGAAAATTAAACTGTCAGAGAATTATTGACTTTTCTTTTTTTTTTTTTTTTCATTCAGACTTTTAGAATATATTTCAATATTTCTAAACTGATAGAATTTTAAAAAATCTTCTTTTTTTAATTAACAATCAATAAGTGCTTATAGAATATTTAAATATCTTACTAGATGTTCTTTGGTCATACCAATAATACCAGCATTAGCACCGACCTGAATGAAACAAAATAATTTGCATATTTTTATCATTTTTGTCTTACCATTAGCATTGCATAATCAGGAGCATATCCTGTCATACCAAATACAGTTGTTTTTAAATATTTTTCTATAAAATATATTAGATTTTATATTTCATAATGCAATAAATATTTTCTTACCATGTCCAGCCAAATCAATAAATGTTACTACCTGAAAACAAAAAAAAAAAATATTTTTTTTTTCTACTAATAAAAAAGTTTTTACTTTAGTTGATTTCTGACAAATATTTGTCCAATCAAGTGATTGATTACCATGTGTATCAGGTCTATTTACAATAGCACCTTGAGCATCAAAACCAAGAATATCCTATTAATAAATATTTGTTCAAATTATTTTAACGGGTGATCAGAACGTTCTAAGACAAGATGTTTGTTCACTTTCAACTCGCTAGAAAATATTTCCTATGAGTTTAAAGCTATGAATTCAAATTCTCTTTTCTCTAATATGAACTTAAAAATTTTATTTAAGAGTAGTGAAAATTTCAGAAATTTCTAAATACTCATTATTATCACATTTTATAGAGCACTGTTCGTTGTTATGTACGAAAATCATATTCAAGTCTTAGTCGTGATCTTTATTTTTTCGGGTTCGTCTGAAATCTTTTCAAACAACCTAAAATGAACAAAAGAGGACCGAAGTGCATAAGAACTATCCTCAATTCTGGCCCTATAAAACGTCACTACGAGACAAAAAAAAGATCAAATAACTAATCAATAAAAATGATGTTTTCATTAAATCTCAAAGTCTACTTTTTACAATGAAAATTTATTTAAAGATCGATGAAAAAAAAATGATGTCTAAACAAAATTCAAATCTTCCTATTTAACAAAAACCATTTGTGAAAAATATTGAGAGGAAACTGAGAATAGTACTTATGCATTAATAGCTTGTAACTCATTAGAAATACTTTCTAATGGATAAAAAATGAACAAATATCTTATAAAAAAAAACTTTTCAATAAACCTACACATCCAACAGATGATGTTCTTCCAGTTTCTGCTTCATGTTTATGTCGAAATAATTTTTGTCGTGCAATACCACGACCATCATCCAACATACCATGAGTTAATACACCAAGTAATGTTGATTTTCCAGCATCTACATTACCAGTAACAGCCACTCTTAAAAATAATCGAATTTTTTTTTCTTATAATAGAAAAAATAAAGTTTCTTATTATTATTTTTACCTAACTTCCATAAAATCTTCTTGATCAATATGCCTTCGAATAAGATATTCATTAATAAAACGTGTATTATTTGTAAGTAATTTTTCTCTTAATAATTGAATTTCTGCATCAAGTATAGCTTGCATACTTTTAAGTGTAGCAATTGATGCTTCCATTTCATCATGTAATAAACCAGGTGATTCACCATCAGTAACTATAAAATTGAAAAAATAAATTAGAATTTTTATTTTTCTTAATAATTACCTCCAGTTCCAATTTCAAGAATCGTTTCACCATGACCATCATCAAGACGTTTTTTAAGAAATTTACTAAGTGCATCAAATTGTTCTTCATTTGGACTTATCCAAGCTGTCTTTTTTGATAAATATTGTCGAATAGCATCACTTTGTTGTTCATCTATTTCATTGGATATTTTCGATATAGTTGTTTCAGCAAATACTTGTATTCCATCGGCAGTCGCCATTGTTAACAACTTATCTGAAGGAATTATTTAGTTTTTATCCTACTAATTTTTTGTTATTTTCAATGTAAACTATAATTTTTAAAGCCTGAAAAAAAAAATGACAATGATCAACAAAAATATTATAATAATGATATATATTTTGAATTTATTCGATATACTTCAAGAAAAAGTATGAATCAGCAAAAATATATGTACATATTATAAATAAGCTACTGGAGGAAAATTGCACAATCATTGAAACATATTTATTTACATATGAAAGTAATGCCAAAATATGGAATAATTTTCTTCTGACAATTATTTTGTTTTTTTGTAAATTTTCATAAGTGAAGAAAACAAGATGAAAAATAATTATGAAATTAAAAATCAATTTTTCTAGTTTTTAAATATTATTAATAATTTTAATGGGAAAGAGAGAAAAAAAAGAAATAGGTAGCTTTCATCTTATTGGTCTTTGTGTAGCCATTAGAATTGTATTTGTGTCCCTACCGATTTTATACGCTTTTTGAAGTGAAATATTTGTGATGTAGTGACATTGGCGACATTAGGTTTAATTCTAGGATAGACTTAACATATTTTTTATGAGAGAAGTTTATGAATGCCAGTTAGATGAAATTTTCACATTGTATTTATGTCTATTTGATCAGAACTAATGAATAAAATAGAAGCCTACAATAGTTTGACTTTTCGAGCCTTTTTGTTGAAATATCGAAATTCTACTGGATTTTTCGTTCCCGCAGGTCATGTGAAAAAAATGACTTTTGAGTTTCCCTTATCGGATTAAGAATTTTGTTTGTGCAAAGTTTGAAAACCAAACTAGAAAGTCGATTTAAGATCCGAAAAACCAAATAATCGTAGACTTTTCTATTACTTACTAATGATCATAAAATGAAGATTATTTCAATCCAAAAGCGATTTTACATATGAAGAGGATCTTTCATACAGTTCTTCTTCACTTGTAATGAAGGATTTTCCCTTCAATTCATTGACAATATATGATCTAATATTTATTTGTATAAAACTCAATGGTTCCTAGATCAGCTTGATTAAGAACATGTTATTGTTAGTTCTTCGGAGCGGCGAAATATATAGGCGCTTGTAAAAAAACAATGTGATATACTACTCAAATCTATCGATCTTTCGTTTTGGTTAGCTTGATTTTTTTTTTCTTGTTTTCTTTCCCTCGGTGGACATGTACTAAAGTTATTATTCACATATTGTCTTTCCCTTGTAAAAAAACATATTGAGCGGTGAATCTTAGTAAATAGAACGCTCTGAAATTGTGAATTTATTTCGAAGCGCTAACTGGACTTGATTCAATTGTGCGACTCTAAAAATAATAGGTGTCAACATCGTTGAGATAAGGTGGCCGCAAGAGAAATATGATTTCTGAATCATAATCATAGCTCATGTGAACCAATAGAAAGTGAGTTGATTGTTGCATGCATGCATGTATAATATCATAAAGAATAGTAGCGATTTCTAGTGAAAAGGGATAGCTAATTGTGTTCAGTACCGTATTTATCTTTCTCTCCTCTAAATTTCATCGTTCCCATGACTCGTTAGTTATCTGTGCTGTCAAACTCAAGAAAACCGATTTTGTGATGTTGGTGTGGAAGTACTGGTACTGATGCGAACCTTCTATTCATTCATATTCACATTCCACACCTACATCCAATTAAAACAAACACAATATTAACTGATCTTGGTGTTTTTTAAAAATAGAATAAGCGATGATGGAATTCATATTGCATTTAATATATTTTTACAACTTTTAATTTATTTCTACTACAGTCATGAAAAGAAATTATATTCATATATTAGTTGATGAAATTCTCAAATTAATAAAAACAGATATTTTTTCACATATTTTAATCTGTCACTACTGTATAAATTATAGTGACAGATTTAGTAGAAAAAATTCAAGGATGATCCGATATTATATCTCATGAACTTTGAAAACATACTGCTTGATCATTATCCTTTCCCTTATGCCGAAATGCTCCAATCAATTTATTTCATTACCTATTCAAATCAATAAAAGTATTTTGAATTAGCGTCTATCTATTACAACGAAGAAAGAAGTGAACTTCAAGATTACAGAATCATTGAGTTTTGATTATATGTATTATTGATATTTCGTCTTAAAAATGAATGCTTTCATTTAATTTTCAGAATCCAATTTCTCTATCAAATAAAATAAATATTCTGTCGTTCTCTTTTTCATCACTAATAACATAACCTCTTTGCTATTTGACATTCTTTCAATAGATGTCTCTTGTTAAAAATCTTTTTTGACGTTAGCATAAATAACTAAGCAACGTGAGAAAAGAAATGAATTTAATAATGACGTGTGCCATTCAGACTAAACAAGAATAAGAAGAAAATATGGCTAATCTTCCATCATGGCTTGTTGAAAGTCGTGAAAATGTTTTAAAAACACAGGTTTATTTTTATTGAAGAAACAAAAACGGAAATTCATTTTTTATTTCTAATTATAATAAGGAATGGCATAATTTAACAACAAATATTTATGATGCTGTTGATCAACATTTAGCACAAAGTCATGTACAATATTTTACTGATTTATCCGATGCAGAAAAAAGTCTTGTACTAGAACGAGCTGCACGAAGTTTACAAGGCACTGCAAATGGAGCACGTTAGTTTTCTTCTTATTATACTAAATAATATTCTTATTTAATTTAGCAACTCCATATGATAATCTAAATAAACGAGTTTCCGATTTACTTGATAAAGGTGTTAATAATGATGTATCTCGATCATTATTAAAAGATGATCCATTAGAAACAAAAACTGATATTATTTTAAATAAAGTATGTGAAGGTATTATTGGTCTTTTACGTAAATGGCCAGATCAAAAATATAAATTACATGCTTTTCTTAATCAACCATTACCACTATCAATACGTTTTGTTGCATGGAACCTTTATTTATCCAATGCTAATCGTATGTTATATAAAAAAAAAAAATTTCAGTATTTTCTTTTTTTAAAAGAATATATATATAAATTATGATTGAATTAGTTGAAAAGATTATTCGAAAAAAAAAAGAAATTTATATAGTAACAATAAAGAATAATTTTAGACCGACAAAAATTTATTAATGATTTGGCAAATAATTCTCGAGGTATATTATCACCAATGGATGCAGAGATTCAACGAAATTGTGATGGCCTTATAAAAACATTACCATTAGCGCCTGATATGATGGATTCAAAAGGTAATTTTTTTTCTTATTCGAATAAGAAAAGTTTTAAATAAATATTCAATTTCTTAGGAAATATGAGTGCTATGAAAGCAATTCTTTCTTATTTTCATTCAATACTTTCAAATAAACGTGATTTAGCCGATTCGGAATATTATTATGTTATACCAATCGTACTTTCTCATAATCCACACATGTCAAGGTAAAAAAACAAAAAGAAATTCATAAAATTCCTTTTAATTTAATCAAAAACAAAAAACATAATATGAAGTAAATAGAAAACATATATATTTGTTTAGCTCGAATGAGTTTCATCTTAATAAGCAGTACGTTTTTATCAAATACATTTTGTTTTTATATTTGCAATATTATTTGAATTATTTTTATTTTCATAATAAATTATTTTCCTTTTTTTTTGTTGACTAGATCAGAGAAACCTTATGAAAAATCTCTTTCATTGTTAATTGAAATGTATCGAACATATTTGGATACAATGCCACCAATATTACGTGATATTTATTTAAATGTAATTAGTTTTATAATTTGAATTTAAAATAATAATTTAAAATATCGACATTTTGATTTATAATAGAGTTCAACACATGAACTTGAACCATGGTTTCGTAAAGTTGAAATTCATTTAAAAGAAATTGATCGACCTATTTATAATCATATGCGATCAATACTTTATCCACCAGGTTTTTATTTCGAATTATTTTATTTTAAAATTTACATCATCATTTTAATATTAAGATTCACATATGTCAACAACTGATGATCCATATGTATTAATTTTTCTGAAAAAATGTTGTTATTCATGGTTTAAATATATGTTCGTTGGTAAGTAATGTGCTTTTTACATATTCAGAAAATAAGAAGAAGACGATGAAAAAATCTATTTCGTTGAATTCTGTATGAATTCATAAGGTTAATTCTGAGTATCACCTTGTTTTTTGCCTCTTAGTATTCAGACTATTTTTATTCTGATTCAACATCCAAAATCAAGTATAACTGTACATATTTGAGTGCGTTTAGTTGTTATTCTCTCGTTCAAGAAGCTCGACAGAAATATGAAACTGCGGAACTACCTTTTTTTTTTTGGTCCCACTTTGGTTTAGGGGGTCGACAAGAGTTAGTTACAATGCTGAAAAATAAAACCGACTAAAACAAAATTTCTTATCATTATAGAGAAATAGCATAGGGAGATTCAGACCAATATTTAAGAAACTATTCGAACTGAGCATTAAGTCTTATACAAAAACAAGTAATAATTACTTTTAAAATTTTCCATAATCCATATAATTTTCTTTTTTTTTGGAGCATCGATCAACTGCGGTTTGCACTATTCGATAATGAATATACCAGGAATGGGACATTCCACGGAGGTACTCCTTTCCACTTTTAAAAATTTTCCAGTTTTTCCCTGCTAAAACCGCATTGTTTTTTAACAAAGATTGTAAGATGAAAACAACAAGTACACCTAATGTTTAATGAGAAAACCGGTTCCTTCTCTTTTTATATCAACTGAATTGGATGAGACATATCTTTCTGAAAAATACATCTTGTCAAAATCACGCCTATACCCCCTATCAGAGCGAAATTTCATGGAAAAGTATTATGTAGAAAAATATATCTCATCCAGTTCAGTTTTATATTTTGATTCTCGAAGTCAGTTTTTCAAGTTCTATCGAATCATTCAAAATTCCACGAAATAGATTTTTTAGAATGCATTGAGTTGAATAAATCGTTAATAAATATTTAGGTTGTTTGGCAAC